GACTCTGATCTGTGAGGTTACAGGCTCCTCTACAGGCTGGACGTTTAGCTGGTTCAGAGATGATGATCATCTGTCCGACAGCAGCAGAGGAGCTGGAGGCTCTTACACTCTCAGTCCTGCTGCTCTACAGCACACAGGAGTTTATACGTGCAGAGCAGAGAGAGGACGACCAGCCTATTACACAAAGTACAGTAACACACAGCCACTGTGGATCACTGGTGAGTCTGTGTGACAGTACTTATGATTGTACTCATCCGTATTTGTGTTTCATTACAGTCTCTGGCACAAGGGGACAAAACCATCTGAAACCAATTTGAACCACAAAAACCTGCTCTCACTTCCCTCCAATTCTCAGTCTAAACCAGATCAGAATCACTATCAAATACAAACTCATAATATATAAATAGAGCATTGCGTTAGCAGCTCGAAAGTTTGTGGGTTCGATTCCCAGGGAACACACATACTGGTAAAAAACGTATAGCCTAAATGCACTGTAAGTCGCTTTGGATAAAAGCGTTTGCTAAATGCATAAATTAAAATTATAAATTGTATGCATAAGACCCTTCTTATTTTAAACTTTAGTGCTAAATTTCATCTTAATTTTATTAAATTACAGATATTATTATACAAACACGTATGCTGTCGATTTTGAGTGCGAGTTTCCTCTTTTCAGGTGTCTCTCCTTCAGTGTCTCTGGTGGTCAGTCCCAGCAGAAGTCAACACTTCTCATCTGACTCTCTCTCTCTGAGCTGTGAGGATCAGAGTAACTCTACTGGATGGACAGTGAGAAGATACACAGACAGAAACACAGAAGATTGTTCAAAACTAACAGGATCTACATGTCAAATCGTCTCTCTCAACACATCTGACGCTGGAGTTTACTGGTGTCAGTCTGAATCTGGAGAGAAACGTCATCCTCTAAACATCACTGTTCATGGTGAGTCCTGTTTCTAAGCACATCTATATACATTCTAATCTGTTATTTCTGTTATAGTTAAGTTAAACCTGTCCACATTCATCAGACAGTCTCTTCCCATTTAAATGGACAGTTTTTGGTCAGATTAATCAGCAAATTGGACTCCGTTTCATGCCAGCTGTTAAAAGTCTGACTACAAAACATACTCCCATGGCAATTCATAACTATTTTACAATGTGGCGAAATGATGGCTAATTTGTACAGTTTTGTAAAATCTTCTTATGGCCAACTGATGGTTAGGTTGAGGGATGGACCATTCACATACGAATTCATACGAATTTGGCAGCTAATGAAATGACTGCATAATGCTAAAAATCACATTGGAAGCATAAAGTACAATTCAGTTCATAAGATAGCAACATTTTTGCCCCTGAATAGTTTTGATGTGCTCTTACTATTTGCATTAAGCACACGTTTCTTGTGTTGTGTAGATGGTGATGTGATTCTGCTGAGTTCTGTTGATCCTGTGATTGAGGGAGATACTCTGACTCTACACTGTTTACATCGATCTACAAACTCCTCGATCCTCAGAGCTGATTTCTATAAAGACGGATCACTCGTCCAGAATCAGACGACAGGAGAGATGAACATCACGACTGTCTCAAAGTCACATGAGGGTCTGTACTACTGTAAAACAGAGAGAGGACAGTCACTGCACAGCTGGATCTCAGTCAGAGGTCTGGAAATGATGAGCGATTTTATGTATGTTTGTAATTTTATCATACATTGTCACTAATGAACATATCTTATCATGTTCTCCGTTCTCAGCAGCTTCATCTTCTCTTCTGGTCACTGGTGTGGTTGTGGGATTGAGTGTTTGTCTGTTGTTCTTCCTCTCACTGCTGCTGATGTGGAGATACAAGAAGAACAAAGGTGTGGAGCAGTTCATAACATGATTAATACAACTGAACAGCAACAATACAGTTTCTGAGTAAAGGCTCATGAGAAGATCTGAATATCAGACTAAAGAGTCACTGCAGATACTCTTGAGTGATCATAATGCTCTTTGTTTCTGTTATAGATCAGCAGCGTAACATTAACCAGACATCAGTCCCAAATCAATCTGCACAATCTCAACTGGAAAACTATCCTCTACAGTCTGGTCAGCCTCAATAACTAATTATTTAAAGGGATAGTACACATACAAAAATTTATTATTAATGTCTTTCCAAGTCTGTATGACTTTCTGTCATCTGTGGAACACACACAAAGAAAGATATTTTCATTATTTTGAACTATCACTTTAAGCTTCATATAATCTTTTTTTTTCTTCAAGACTGCTTTGCTTTTTACCTTTTATCCTCAAATACTTGTTTGCTGTCCAGCAGGTTCTGATCACATTTATGACGACGTGACTGAAGTGAATAAGAGAGACAGAGGTTGAGTCTTAAACTTTATTTATACACATATAATTCAAAAATCAACAAATATCGTTCAGTCATGTTGGCTTGAATTGTTTGTTTTAGATGATCCAGAGCCCTCGGCAGAGGTCACATATTCAGAGGTCACTGTTAAGAAAAAGATGGACAAAGGTTAAAAAAAAAAATTCTTAAATTCACCTGTACAATATTATCAGTCTTTAACCACATTATTCCATTTCTAATTCAACAAATAAAAAAAATCATATTTATTTCAAAATAATATCATTATTATTTTTCCAGGTAATACTAAGGCAGAGTCAAATAATGTGACATACTCAGAAGTTAGAACAAAAGGAAAGAAATGCAAAAGTAAAGGTGAGTTCCTGTTTTTTCCTGAAGTACAATATTTCCAGCATGTTCTGAATAATCTGATTGATCTTCTGTTTTGTAGATATTAATACTGCAGGACCCAGTGATTTGACTTACGCACAGATCAATGTATGCATTGATCTGTCAATTCGGTGCAAACAAACTGCATCTAAACACAACTGTCTGAATGATTATAGTGATTTTATAATATCAGGAAAATAAACCCTTTACAATCATAAACAGCACTAATAGAGCCAATTCATGCAACTTCAATTTCCAAATGTACTACATCAACCACGTCTGTATGTTGTTTACTGATGCTGCTCTCTTGAATTTCGATGATGAAAACAGGCATAGACAGACTAGAGTCAGATAGCATCCTGTTGTTTTTCATGATATGTGCTGGACTTTCTGATGTTCTGATTGAAATGAAATCTAAGGACAAACACAGAAGTAAATAAAGAGATGCTCTGAAATGCCAACAGCAGGTTACAGATCATGTGAAAACGTGTGAAATAAATCATTTTAACAGAACCTGGTTAAAAGTAAATAAAAAAATAAATAAAAGGTTCTTAATCATAATTCTTTTAGCTGGACATTATATTAACATTTTTTATCAAAATACATTTTTTAATCAATATACACTTGTGTTTTGAGGGCCTCCACTCCTTCATGTGATCATGGATTATCATTTATCAGTGTTGCAGATGCATGGCATTATGTTCATTCGTTGCCTCTCTGTTGTTCTCTATCAGGGAAGAGCAGTGAGTCTGGAGACACTCTGTACTCTGAACTGAACCACAACAGAGATAGAGGTGAGAGAAACACAAAGTCAAGCTTCATCACTATTACAGTCAAACCACTAACCTTACAAAATAACCATCATGCACCGGTTCTGCTACAGATCAGAATGATTCCTAAAGTCGTGTGGCTTGTTGAAGAAATATATAAATCTTATATTGTATCATTATTGTATTGTTATTGATCATCTGTGTTCTTCAGATGCTGATGCTGGAGTTGGTGATGCAACTTATGCTCTAGCTTTTTGGAAGAAGGGTCACAAAAAGATTAAAACACATAAGAATTCCGTTAGTTCTACAATGATTTTACAATAACTGACAACAAGCTCATAATTTGCGCTCGTCCCTGTGGATTGTGGCATATATCGGTTCCTTTCCATTTGAAACCTGCTTTAAGCGATTTGGTTCAAGTTATTTGTGATGATCAGAGTTTCATCATGATCTTAGAACTATAAAATGTCAAATGAATGAGCTCATTATTCATATCTCCTGCTTAATGCATCATCTTTTATCTGTTTAAAGGTCCCTGAGTGCAGAGAAGACAACAGACGGCTAAAAGAGATTCACACCAGCAGACACAGTAACGCTTGCATTGCTTAAGAAATGTGAATTGCTTATGCACATGCTTGATTGAAAGACTTTAGAGATAGACACTGTATTATCTGTACACATTATGTAGGCAAACAAATCTATCTGTAATATATATTAAATCATTTTCCATTTGAGCACTTTTGTTTAACAGCTTTAAGTGAAACTGCCCTTCAAGTTATTACATGATTTGACTGGTGCTGTACAGCAATTAAACAGTAATTAGGCACTTGTTTGATAGTTATATATAACACGTTCTTTGTCTTATAAAATAATGCCTGTGTTTTTGCCAAGACGGTGAGGCTAAGATTATTTTCTTGCATATGTTCATAAATACTGCTTTTTACATGAATATATTTTCCTCTGTTTCATATATGCTGTTTTTTGCTACAGTTAATGAAGTCAGAGATTTACATTTGCTAAATAAACACAAAAGAACAAACATTTGTATGTTTCCTTTGCATGATTTTTTCACAGTTAGGGTCATTTTAACCATAGGTAAAAGTAATTCCAGGTTAGTAGCACTAAACAAATCAGCATTTGGCTTTGAATGTTGAAACATTTAGATGAAGATACTACCTGACACTCGTGAAGGTCTGTTCACATGTGTGAGATTGATTACCTCCTGCTGTCAGTTTTAGTCCAGCAGCCTCTGGAGGGAATCCTGCAGTGGCATCAGTGGCTGACAGTATATCTTGATGGCATTGCTCACGGGCAGATGATCAGCATCATCTAGTTCCTATAAAAAGTGGAATAGAAGTTAGAGGTAAGGAGAGGTTGTTTCTTGAAGACTTTGAAACTGAATTTCTTAAAATGAGATGCATGATTAACAAACTAAGCCAGAAGAATATCATCAGCGGTGATGTGTCATAAAGTGACATAATGGGGCACATAATGGGAAATATGTATAATGCTGAGAATGATCTTGATTATTCATTTAAAACAGCTGTTGATATTTTTTATTTCCCCGTTTGTTTTGTTGCCCTGTGGGGTGTTTGTGTTCCCTTTTTCTCTCACAAGAGTTCTGTCAAAATTCTCCAGTGAATCCCCTCGACATCACTTGGATCAGCTGATTAATTGTTGTATGAATGTTTTATTAATAAATAAATGAATAATTTAAATTTAAATATAATTTATTAAAAACGTATAAATGTAATAATGTTTATTACTTTTTTATTTATTACTTATTTTATGACTTATCTTTTATGTATTATTTTTTTATTTATTACTCGATTTATTTGTTACTTATATTTTATTTATTATTTTATTTATTTATTATAAAGCATAAAGGAATAGAGTGAAGAAAATGCTAGGTCTAACTCTAGCATTGAAATAATCATTTTGAAATATTTGCAAATAATATCTTAAAATCTGCATGTTCACTCCTGGATCGGACAATACAAACACACTCACATACCATTTTTGAACATATTGTATATATTGCTTTTTTCTTGTGTTACTTGTACAATGCACTTTGGGTTGGCGTTTATTCTTGGACTCTGTGTTTATTTTGTGTGTATTCAATCAAAAACTATTTTAGGAGGTAAAGAAAATTAACTTTATTGGTGTAGCCTCTCCTACTTAGGTTGGGTCTTACAACTGATTCACACAAGTGGCATTTTAATGTGCGACCAGGTAATCGTGTTGCAGGAGTCATCAGTGTCCCAATCTTTAGTGGAGACAAACCACCACATACTGTGTCCTGACAATTAGGAAAACTATAGAAATTATGTTAATTATTTATATTATTAAAATATATAAACAAAGTTCAGAAACCTGAACAGAAGAGTAAAAGCAAAGCAGAAACAATAAAAACAAGTAGTTTTTAAGTTTGTTGTTTATAGGCCTACTTAGAGAGATTAAAAGGACAGAAGAGAAAAGAGATTTATTTTGCTTTCTTCTTAGTCTGAAGAACATTTTAATAGCCTAAAGAACCTTTTTTGGGGTTTTTTTGCAAATATGATTCAGTGGATGTTAAAGAAGTAGTTCACTTCCAGAATAAAGGTTTCCTGATAATTTTCTCATGTCGTTCAAGATGTTCATGTGTTTCTTTCTTCAGTCGCAAAGAAATTAAGATTTTTGAGGAAAACATTCCAAGTAGCACTCTGCATTTCAGCCCGAGCCCGACAGGGCCCGATTTATTTACGCCCCTATAGGGCCAGGCTCGGGCCCATTTTCACGTCATAGCTCAGATGCTCTGAAGAACATTTTAATAGCCTAAAGAACCTTTTTTGGGGTTTTTTTGCAAATATGATTCAGTGGATGTTAAAGAAGTAGTTCACTTCCAGAATAAAGGTTTCCTGATAATTTTCTCATGTCGTTCAAGATGTTCATGTGTTTCTTTCTTCAGTCGCAAAGAAATTAAGATTTTTGAGGAAAACATTCCAAGTAGCACTCTGCATTTCAGCCCGAGCCCGACAGGGCCCGATTTATTTACGCCCCTATAGGGCCAGGCTTCGGGCCCATTTTCACGTCATAGCTCAGATGCGGTCTGGGCATCGGGCCTGTTTTAGGCTTCTCCTTATGTAAAAAATAATAATAATTAACCGTGTTATTTCTCGTGGCCACTAAAGTATTCTCAGTTCCCACCACTCATGAATGCATGGGCCCGTGGGAAGAGTCATGAGCATGGAGTCTCTGTCCACAAACTTCTTCAAAGTTTATTATTACATCAGTAGAATATATAGATGCAGACCAATCTCAATGAACCCCCTTTCCAGTACCTCAACTCCATGCTTATCTTGAATGCCACAAAGACCCATAAACATCTGCGCATGCTCTAAGAGCTGATTCTTTGTAGCGAACGAGAAGAGCCGACTCCCATCGGGGAGAGCCGAATCTTCAGGCGGAGCCTTCTATTTTAGCCAAATTTAGCAATTGTGAATGGTTCAGTGTTTTCATAAAAGCCTTATTTTTATGCATTTATGCAACAACAACAAAAATACACATGCGGGCTAATCATATGGGAGGATCGACTAGGATCATACCATTATGTAAAAGAAGGAAGGGGGACACACACTCCGAAGATAGCAACCCTGCATTCCATTCGGAAGGGCTCATCCCTATGCCCTAATCCCTTCAAAGGGTTTACCCTCGGAGTGAGAGCTTCGAAGGGATGAAGGGTGTAGGAGACCAAACAACTGTTTCTTGAAGTGCCCTTCTGCGTCATCACATGCCCACACACAGGCACAGTCATCATGCAAAAAATCTGCGCAAAGGATCATGGGAGCACGAAGTGTCCATCAGTTGTACCCTTCGAAATCCTTCATTCCGAAGTGCCCTTTGAAGTGGCCAGTTTTGAGCACTTCGGTTTGGAATGACCCTTCAATATGGCGGCCATGATTGTTTTCACTTCGAAGTGCCCTTCGGAGGGCGATATATCCCGTTTGGAATGGACCGCAAGTGTAGTGGTCCAGGCCAGGTACACAGAGCGACAGAGAGAGGCGGTGGATACAGATTTAAATGCAAGCGCGTTGGTTAAGGTAGGAAGACACTGCATTGTTGCAACATCGGTCCCCTCAGAGAGAGTCTTCTCAAAAACAGGACAAATAATCACAGAGAGGAGAAATCGCATCAGCACACCCAAGCTGAGGCATCTGATATTTCTGAATGCCAACCTGCACTACAGACATGTTAAGACTTTTGCCTTTATTTATTTGATTTGTTTCCTGTGGTTCTGTGTTCAATTGTTCAATTAAAGTTTTATTAAAATGTTAAATAATAGTAACTGTATTTTTTGTAACGAAAAAATGCATAAAAATAAGGCTATTATAAAAACACTGAATAAAAAATTGCTTACCAACACACAAACCATTCACAATTGCTAAATTGGGCTAAAATAGAAGGCTCCGAGTGATACTAAATAAAGAGCCATTTGGGAGTCGTAAGAGCCGGATCTTCTAAGGGAGCCAAGCCAAAAGAGCTGAATCTTTGAAAAGAGCCGGTGTCCTGACATTTTATCCTACCTGTCAGATTGTCCTACCAGGGTTTACTGTGCATGCACACATCAATATTGCGTCCTTTGTCTCATACTGAACAACAATATTTAATGTATCTGCATTACTGTAAGGGTAGTTTTAGGGTTGGGGTAGGTGTAGACTTTAATAAAACACAATATAATAGGTAGAAAAATTTTATATAATAGGTAGAATAAATTGAAAAATGTATTGTTGGTTTCCTGTAGCTGTATCCCTTCTAGCTACAACCGCGAATATAACATATAATTACTGTATTGCATTACTGTAAAGGTAGGTTTAGGGTTGTGGTAGGTGTAGACGTTAATAAACCATAATTTTACAGGTAGCATTTTTCGTTGTCGAATTGTACTACCCACTGTTTTAATGGGAGGTAGCAAAATCTGACAGGGTAGCACAAATCGACAGAACACCGGACTTCCCATCACGACCATGTGCGTTACGTATGCGGTGCAGAAGCAGCACCGACTCATTTTGCTTTCACACAGAACGCATTTGCAGTCCGCTCCTCCGCGGCTGTTTACCACAAACACAACATTTATCCATTATTTTTCTTTCAAATCCAAACGTTGTTACTTTGTTTTTCTACCTCCACACGTGCATCTATTATGTTGCCTTGTTTATCTAAAAGTGCAATATTCCTTGTTTTAAAGTAAACCTAGCCAAAAAGCCACGTGTTGACTGTGAAACACAGCCTGGGAGT